TAGAAAACTACTGCTTCCCATGTCTACATCTCAATTCCTACTTAGATCTCAGTTTTAGGATATGAAAGCAAGGCAGAACAGTCAACTCTCAGTTATCCACATGTAGAGAGAAAAACAAAATCCCAAATGGCAAATAATTCATAATTGTATACATAAAGCAAAGAATTATGGTCTATGAGAGAGTACAGACTCTTAACCTCCGCCCCCCCCCCACACACATGCATATACACACACCCTAAGAAACTCATCTCTGCTTGCTGACACCTAGAAATCTCTAGACAGTGGGACAATAGAGTTTACAAACAAATCTAAAAGTACACTAGTTAAAAATGACTAATCCAGAGGAGATGAGGTTATGAATTCATCCAATCTTGTCCCTCATATTGCTTTCCTTTAACCTCTAAATCTAGGAGTGCAAGCTCACTTGGAATCGATTTGGAAGCAGTCAGAGCCCCTCTCCATTCTATTTTCCTCTCCCTCCATTTCCATACTTTCAAATGAGCAGATGACATTACATGTTTGTTACTGAGGGGTAATATTACTTCTTTGATCTGTTCTCATTAGAAATGTTCTTGGGCTCAGTCCCTGGGTACATTTTTATAATCCAGAAAAATACAGATCTGGCATTATAACCTGAAGCTTTTCAATCCTAAAATCCTTATCAGTACCCAGTCATTCCATAACATTCTATAGGGTTTTAAGAATCCATCTCAAAAGCAATGCAATGTATTTTGGAAATAGATACTGGTTTTCTCAAGGTAGATGTTTCAGATTTGAAATTAGAAATAAAAGGAACACACTTAATTTAAAAACTAAGAATTAGTAAATGAAATGGAAGAGTATTTTTATAGGAACTATGAATTAATTTATTTCTCATCTACTTTCAAAAGATATAGTTCAGGTGCAGACTTGTTGTGTACCATCGAGTTGGTTCCAATTCATAGCTAATCTGTTTAATTTTCCAAAACTGTAAATCTTCATGGGAGCAGAAAGTCTCATCTCTTTCCTGCTGAGTTGTTGGTGGGCTCAAATCACTGATCTGTGGTCAGGAATCCAGTGCTTATCTTACAGTGCCACCAGCACTCTACTAGACAAGGTATTACTAAATAAATGAATCACTAGATAAATTAGCAAACAGTCTTGGTAACATAATGGGTTACATGATGGACTGCTAACCACAAGATTAGCAGTTTAAGTCTACCAGCCATTCTGCAGGATAAGATGAGGATTTCTGCTCCTACAAAGATTTATAGCCTCAAAAAACCTACACTGGGTTGCTATGAGTCAGAACCAACTCCATAGCATGTAGTAACTGCAGCAGTAGCAGTAACAGCATGTAAATTAGCACAAAAAGATAGGTACAGAGAAATAAAGATAAAAACAAGTATACATTTTCTACCAAGAACACCTGCTTGACTTTATCAATTAAAGATAGAACTTAGATTTGAGCTTGTAGTTTCAGTACCCCCATATGCATGTGACAGTTGGACAGTAAATAAGGAAGACTATAGAAGAATTGATGCATTTGAGTTGTGCTTCTGGAGAAGGATATTAAATGTACCATGGACTGGTAAAAGAACAAACAAATCTGTTTTGGAAGAAATACAGCCAGAATGCTCCTTAGAAACCAAGATGGCTAGATTTTGTCTTTCATACTTTAGACATATTATCAGGACAGAACAGTCCCTGGAGAAGGACATCATGCTTGGTAAAGTGTAGGGACAGAGAAAAAGATGGAGACCCTAACGAGATCGATTGGCACAATGAAGCAACTATGGACTCAAGCATAGCATCAATTGTGAGGATGGTGCAGGACCAGGTGGCCTTTCAATCTGCTATAGATAGGATAGCTATGAGTCAGAACAAGCTTGACAGCAATTAACAACAACAGTAGTCAAGTTGTTGTTGTTAAATGCCGAGTTGGTTGCAATTCATAGTGGTCTAGTTTAGGGTTTCCAAAGAGCAGTTGGTGAGTTTGAACAGCCAACCTTGTGGTTAAAACCAATTTTGCAGTCCTTCACTTATCCTACAGTGCCACACCAGAACTTTGTAGTCAAGTCTAAGAGGAAAATAATTAGAAGTACATTATGACTGCATTTGATCCTCAAAACTCTCCTTACAAAATGTAAGTAAATAGAATTGTTTTATTTTGATGATTAGTACAGTTAAAGTGCAAGGAGATAGAAAGCTTTGCCAAATGCCACAGATAATGCAGGCCCAATAAGGGACATAATTTCCAAATCTCTTGGGCTTTATTGTCTGAGTCACGTCTCCTTGCTTTCAAGACTGATTAGGTAGTTCATCTAGTGGACAGTGTATGAGTTACAGAGAGAGAGAGACTCAGATACTGACCAGCCTTCCTTCCAATGAGTGTTCTGCAACAAGTGGCTCCCTGAGGCAACTGTTGTGAAAGTTTTACAATATCTTCATGGTCAGAGATAATACCTCCATTTGTATATCACTTTATAATGTCTAAAAGCACATGTGTACACTATTTAATTTAGCCCTCAAAATCAGAGAGCTACCTAGAATAAATGCCATGGTACTCAATTGAACTGGTGGTGGTGGCTGTGTGCCATGGAGTTGGTTCTGACTCATAGCGACCCTGTACAGGGTTTCCGAGGCTGTAAATCTTTACAGGAGCAGAAAGCCTCATCTTTCTCCCATGGAACAGTTAGTAGTTTCGAACTGCTGACCTTGCGGTTCACAGCCTGCTTCGTAACCACTACGCTGAACTAGAGATATTAAATATTTAGCTAAAAAAAAAAAAAAATCACACAGATATTTAGTTAATGCAGAACTAAAGTTAAATACCCACATTTCTATTTTATTTCTCACTGGTTTTTTTTTGTGTATGAGTAGAAAGAGAATAATCTATGAGTTGGATAAACTTTCCTAATTGGTTTTTATTTTTTTCCTGACTATCAAAGTACACCTTTGAAAACAGTTTCTAAAGAACTATCTCTTAAGAATAAAACTTCAGAACACGAAGAATCAAACGTCCAAAATGAAAACCAAGATCAATTTGAAGATTCCCATATCCTGAATCTCAAACATATTGTCTAGCAGTGGCAGAATAGCCATTTATAAGTGAAAATCTTTTAGTCTTTGGCAAGCTTTAATCCCTAGTTATTTT